GTGTGTGTGTGTGTGTGTGTGTGTGTGTGTACTCCGCAGCACCATCTGTTCAGGCTGTGTGACATGGTTTGGACTGTTGAGCTGCTGGTTTGTGCGCTGATTGTCAGAAATTATTCAAAACCACACCAACCCTCAAAAGATGTTTCTCAATCTAATCACAATCTCAGTGTGTGTCAGTCACATGTCAGCAGGGGGGCACTGTCACTGTCACTCTGTCGGGGCTGTTTGGGGGAAACATCCACGTATCTGGAAAATACATGAGTGAGGTTGATTTGTTGGTGATGTTCAAAATTCAACACCCATTGTTGAGATAATCTTGCATCAGGTTCTCTGGCTGATGTATCAGCACAGTCACCTCAACATTCAGAGAGGCTCTGCTGACACACACACACACACACACACACACACACACACACACACACACACACGCCATAGTAACAACAATGCACAAACAAGATAAATTGTCCCAAACACTGAGATCCCATCCAATTTATTCATGTTCGTCATGTTCAAAATTCCTTTACAAAGGGAACTAGTTGTGTTGTGACATGCTGACACCTCTCTGGTTTTCAGTAAACCGTTCTACTAACTCTTCCTACAGTGAACTGCGGTTGGTGATGGATTGGGTGACACACGGTGCATGATTCTCTCTGGGTGGTATTGGCTCAGAGTTTCAGATCAGACGAGTAACGAACTTCACTCTCAGTAAGATAAGGCTGCCACCTAGTGGCTGAAAGCTTGCGCAAGCGTTTACTGCAGAAAAACAGCTGAGATTGAAACCTGGAAATATTATACAATACTGCCATCTACAGGTTATGCTTGGAACTTGTGATATTGATGAAATTATTGGAGCAACTGCTTTTCAGTAAGAGGATATTTTCTTAGGAGATCTTCCTGACAACCTTCTGCAGTTCATTGCTGTAAACGGTTAAATGTGTGTTTTAGTTATTTTATATTCAGGAACTCGTGGAAACATGAGTATGAATCTGTAGGTCGGTGCAGTTTTATGTTCTGCATATAAACAAACACCTGTGAAGCGTTTTTGTTCATGGCTTGTTGTTAATGTGCTCTACATTATTTCATCTGTGTAACAAATCATGAGCTCATTGGTTGTTTTGCTGATATTATTTTTCAATATGTTAGATGAATGTTGAATATCTCATGTGACAAAAACTGATTTTCTTTTGAATTTTAAGCATTTAAGTTCTTACTGTATCTTGTGCCGACCTTCTTTTTTACAAGAAGTTTTGTCATATTAAGTTTGCAATATAAATTGTATATTACTTTTATATTTTTCCACACATGGAACGCCCTCTCCCCCGTGTCTCAGCCTTTGTTAGGAGATGAAACCTGGCTGAAATATTACACCATTACTTCCAGGTCTGGTCTATTGTGTTTTACTTTGAAACTGGAACACTGTAATGTTTCCTCTGAGAAACACCTCATCCAGAGCTGCGTTTCTACTGTGACAATGAGGACAAGTTGTTCTGTAGCTCTGAGGTTAAGAAGTTGGATCTTCATTCCTTTGGATAAATTGCTGTTCTTACTTCCTCTGGTGACTCTATTTGCTGGTAAGTTATTTACACTTCTGAATATAAGAAGTCCATAAAAACAATGATTTGTTTGGTTGAATAGTCCTGTGTTTACTATTTAATATTCTGACACTAATACAGTGATTTTTCTTAAGCAAAAAAATAACTATCACATCGTTTAGATTAATTTAGTTTAGCTTGTCTCAAATATTTTTTGAAAAGTAAAATAAAAATACATATGTTGAAAAACTAAATCACTAAATAGATACAACACAATCAAATAGCTAAATAACTTAACCAGCTCTGACTGATGTGAAACGACTTAACAGAGTTGTTTAAGGACATTATGGAACATTTAAACCACAACATAAATGGAAGCAGCCCAGAGGAAAAGCAGAAACAAATTACTGTAAAATGCAGTAAAAAACCAGTTAAAGCACTTTGTGATACTCAACTGTGAGTATTTGTCCTAAAATAAATTGGATTATACCGTGACCTAAAATGACAGAAGTCAATACCTTCAGCATAAACACATCATCATTGTGACTGTTCAGCTCGTCATTGTGTTTCTTTTTGGTTTAAAAAGTCAAATCACTCATGTTTGGAACCATATACGATATCAGCAGGAGAGATTCTGTTGGTCTAACGTTCACTAAACTCAAATCCTCAGGTTCTTCACAGGAATCGGAGCCATGGAGAGGAACTGCCTCCAGGTCATCGGATAAACAACCACTCCTACAGAATGCCTTCACTCCAGGTTATCAGTGCTTCTCTGTATCTACTTCAAGAGGAAGCCAGGCCAAGTCAATATTCTTTCCAGCAGCATATTCATTGTGCATTTCACTTTTTAAAATCTAAAGCTCATAACTTTGTGTCCTTTCTTCTGCACACAGTCCGGCCAGTGTCACTGCAGATGCAGTATGACACCAACATGACAGAGAATAACGTCCATAGAAGAAGAAGAAGCAGCTCGGGCTCTGGTGACGCTGGAGACTCTGATCTGCCTCTGAACCTCCTGACGACCTCTCATCTCTCATCTCTCAGAGATCTACTGTCAGACAACAAAGTCTCAGGTTGCACAACTGCACAACTGCACCACACCCCCTCGTTCAACAAATCACAGCACGATGTCATGAAAATAAAGGTCATCTCGAGTAAAGATAAGCTGGCATCGATTAACGCCTGCATTCTTGTTTGTTTCCCTCTGGTCTTGTGTCATATGGATACAAGAATCAGAATGAATAAGGCAATATGACATTGATATCTGACTTTGGATAAAAGGCTGAAATCAGTTCACTATAACCCAGCATGCAACAACAGATCAGGCCAGACCTGAATATAATCTGTCAACAGTTGTTAGTGTCATTTTGATGGTGAAATTCTTCTTTCTTTCTTTTTTTGTTTTGTTTTTGAAGTTCGTTTAGGTCTTCGTGTATCTCTCAGTGGTCCAAGTGAGCTTCTTGACCCTCAGTTCCTCCTCTCCCTCAGCAAACAGGTCAGTAGATATTAATTTAAAGGCAAATTATAAATCATTCCCTCGTGGTGTCTGTTCAGGAAAGAAATTCATGTTGCTTGGAGGTGTTAGATTTGTTCAACTGTGTTTTTTCCATAAGATTTAGGAGAAAAACACATCAGTTACTTCATTAGTTAGATTGTAATGACTGATAAAAATGTGTGTGAAGGGAACCAAACTACAAACTCACCTCCCCAATAATCAATGCTCACAGAGTCTAAAGTTCAGCAACTGAAACCTCAGCAGCTGAAGTTATTTGACTTTAATCTATGAACTTTGGTCGTTTCAGACTGACAGCACTTTTTTAACAGGAATGTGTGGATTAAAAGATTAGTGTCTCTAGAGCTCTGCACACTACTGATGAAGAGGAGGTCGAGTACCACTGAAACTAGTTTTTGAAGAAGCAGGGGAGACACTTGAAGCTGTTGTGTTGAAGTTGGTGCTTATGACTGTTGTGTCTTTGTTTTTCTGCCTTTTCTCTGAAAAGCCAGGACTCTACAACAATGGAGGGAAGCCAGGACTCTTCACTATGAGAATTGTGGGAATAAAGAAAGCAGCTTCTGCACCTTGAGACGTCATCATCCACAGTCAACCCCAGAATCTCTATGATTATTTAAGCGACATTAGTAACAAAAAGGATATTAATAAACGCTAAATAAATATACTCTGTTCTTCTTCCTTTTTAAAATATTTTAGATCAAGGTTTGTGTTTAATTAAGAATTTTAAAAGATTTAAAAATAAACTTGAAATAAACAGATAAACAAGGCCAGCGATAATACACAAAATACAGTATATATATATAGATGAATTATATCAACATTTAAAATTTGGTGCAAAGATAGAAGGTTTTTACTGGTTTTCTATTTTAGAAGGAAGACAATGAGCCAAAATACAGATGCCTGCTTCCCTTTTACAGAGGAGGGTTTCGTTTTTAGCATTTGTGGACGTGGAACTCTCATTGATATTATGAGGATGCACGAAGGGAAAAAATATATCTTCTAAAATTTGTGAAACAAAACGACAGATGCGTTTCAAGATCATTTTAATGTCTCTGCTGTGTTCCTGTGACTGACACTTGACCCCGCCCCATGAAGTGAACGAGCCAATGGCACCAGACGCCGGGTATCTGTCCCCTCCCTGTTGGTGGAGCTGAATGTGACCGTGAGGAAGTTGCTGTGCACTTTACCGGTCATGACTGTGAACGTCCGGACTCTCTGCTGTAAATAAAGCACCGACCCGCGCTGCGCCAATTGCGCAAGGATGACAGAGTCTGTGGAGGACACGCTGCCCGAGGAGGAGAGGGAGTTCCGGAAGACTGTGGCTCTGCTCGGCGGGAAAGAGCGAATTTACTTGGTCAGTGATGTCTATGAAAGCAAAGAGGAGGACGCGGAGGACGCCGGGATCCTGCAGGAGTTCATACGTGACATGTTTCACAGAGGCAGCCATGTGAGAAGCAATGGGCAACCCCACGCCTCCTCCCCAGACAACCCAGAAGACACTGCGAACGAGAACCACATCTACAGCAAGACAGAGGCAGCTACGTGCAGCAATGAAATCCCTCTGACGGAGAGGCCCAGAGATTTGGATGTGGGAGCTAGCCCGGTGGTGCAGACGGGCTCCGGCAAAGGCAACGCGGGTTCCGCTGAGAGGACAGCGACGCGCAGGGCAAACATTTCCAGCGTGAAGCGAGCGATAGACTCGCCCATCATCATCTTCATCTTCAGACAGACGTTTGTCGGTAAAGAATCCAGCGAGCTGTGCTTAAAGGAGATCCTGAAGGACGTCAGGGCGCGCACGAAGCGTGCCAGTATCGCGCAGCCGGCTCTCATTGGATTAATCCACGCCAGACAGGAGAGCGCCGAGACGCGTCGGTGCGCGCAGCTCCTGGAGAGTCTGATCCGCTCAGTGTTCCATAAACATCCGCCAGAGACTATATGGAGCGACTGTTTCATCCCGGACACAGAGGCCAACATGCTCAGCATCAAGAGAAACACCTGCAGAGTTGTACACTCGTCCCAAACAGCAGGTGTAATAAGACACGTATTCAAGTTTGTGATTAGTTTAGAATTGACCGTTTTTGGCTTAAGCACATGTCTGCAGGACAAATGCTTGTTGGCAAAGAGTTTGACCCCTGAGGTCTGTCAACAAGACACCATGCAGTTTGGTGATGCGTGAAATATTTGACAGCCAAAATTGAAAATTGGTTCAGATTTGACTATTTAAATCATGGGCCTATATTGTGCAGATGTCACACAACCCTGCAGCTCATGTGTAATTATTACTGATAGGGAAAATATCCAGTCACAAGTATGAGCACATCAAGAACATCAGCAGGGTGAATGTTTGTTGACATGGAGTTTGAACCCTGGTATCTTTAAACAGGACAGCATGCAGTTTGATGATGCACAGCCAAAATCAAAAATTGGTAAAGATACTTCAAATAATGGCCCTATATTGTACATATAACACACAATCCTACAGTGTATATGTAGTTTTACTGAAAAGGAAATAACAACGCCTTTAATTCAGAAAACCATAGGATCATTCATTGTACCTAAATATGTAGTTATAATGATATCCTGGGGGATGAAATTGCATTGATTTTGATAGGACAATTGTTAAACCCCTAATGAGTTCAACCACAATCTAAGTTCCTGCAAACACTGTTGTAAATTGTGTTGGTGCGCTCCATTATATAGGTCAGTCCATGACATTCACGAGACTGCACATTTCTAAACACATTTTTCTTCCCAGGCATTGGCTGCAAAGGCCACGAGAACAAAAGGAGCATTCATGAAACAAGCAGGCCCTTAGATAAGCTGCCAAGTTGTTAAATGCTTTATTATTGCTTCTTTTAGATAATACCAGGAATAGAGGGAACCCGCTTCTCTGGCCATTCCAATGTTTGTTCTGGCATCGGAGAAGAGGAGGCAGCGGTCAGACAAACAACTCTACGAACAGCAGGCAAAGAGGTAGCTGCTTCATCCCTGTTCAGACTGACAGAGCCAGGAATTTCCACTTCCACTGACCATTTTCTTTAGACCTCCCTTTTTCTATTCTTTTCTTTCCTTATCTATACAACAGAGTATCTTTGTTCTCCTGGGATTGGTTTTTATATCTCAGATTGCACTATATGGGTAAAAGGCATGGTTGATTGAATCTATATGCAACAATGTTAAGAGCATTCTAATTTTAAAATTCAAATGTTTAACCATGATTGAAACTATAGCAAAGAGCACAGATTTGTATTCATTTCTTTAAACTCCGGTTGCATTGTACATAACTTTATTTTATTTGTTTTTCAGGAGACAGTCTAGAAGAAGGCATCCCTCTGCAAAAAAACAATTCTGTGACTGTTGGGTGCCATGTGAACGGAGAACCACCTTGGGGTGACAGCTGATGTCAGGACATGTGAACTTATGGCTGCAGGCCTATAGCTATGGACAATCCTGGTTTAACTGTGAAGTTGGCCTCATGATGCTGCAGTGCTTTAAAGCAGGGTTTCCTTATGATGCTCAAAATCCCAATTCTGAGCCCACGTGATTCATTTCCTGAAGCAATGATTTGTTGGACAGTCAAATCTGTTGCCATCTTGCTGATTGTTGTTTATGTGTAGAGCAGTCATACAAGCTGAATCCCATCAAGTCAGGGTTTTTTTTGGGGGGGAAGAGATGTTCAGATAGAGACTTGTACGTTAGCTTATTGCAGGCAGAGACAGCAGAATATTGGAAGTAGACATTTTACAGCACAAGCACAACTTTAACATGAGGCACAGTCAAACACAGAACAAGATCCACATCTGGGCAATGCGGGCAACTGCTCCATGGGACCCCAAAACTCTAGGCTTACTGTTTATCAACTGGTCTGTGCTAGTTGCATTTATTTTATTTGTGCTCATTAACATTTATTTTGGAAAATTACATCACAGTATCAACTGACATGATAGAAGTCTTAAAATTAGTTTTACTTTATTAGTGTACCTGACTGAAGCTCAGTCTTTAAAAGGGACCCTGTGTCAAAATCTAGTATTTCTAGATCCTAACTATTAGTTTTAGACTAGTATTACTAATATTATGGTGGTGTTCCTTAAGTGGTGCTAACCAAATGTGTACATTTGACATATTTTCTATTGTGCTAAATTAAATTATTGCACAACTAATCTAGAGCTAGATCTAATGAAGAAAAACTTCACTAATTGCACAGAGAACAGGGGTAACTGTGAAAAGTGGCCCAACTCTTCTTATTTTTACTGACCCTGTGATTTATTTTTCAGGATTTGTGCCTTTACATGAGTGCTATTATCAATAGCATTCTCTCTAACAGAAACTGAGTAGTCTGCTTTTCACTTTTTTATTTATAAATGTATGCTACAAATTGTCTGTTATAAAAATAAACCCATCTTGTATATCTCTTGATAAGAAGGACTTTCTCTACATTCTTTCACTAAATATTCATCCATCAATCAACACAGACAATGCCACATATTACCTGACAACTACTACAAAACTGTACACAGTGTAAATATTTTCTTTTCCTTTTCTTTCATATTCCCTTTTTGTCACCAGTCTAAATAAGAAAACACAGAGGACGCACGTAGAAGTGAGCACCACCAAACCAAATGTTGCATACACGGGTTACTGTCAACACTCAGCTTAAATAGCAACACCAATCGACACACATATACTACTTGCAGTCTAAAAATAATGGAGATGTAACTTTAATTGTTTTTAATGCAACCCAAAAGATGATGTCTGTGTATCTCTCTCTATATATACAAGTTTGGCCAAGCCTATGATGAGATCAATTAGATAGAATTTGTCTTTACTATTCTACCTGCAGTTAAGGGATGCAAGCAAGACATTTTTCCATCTTTTTTTTCTTTTAGAAATAAAGGCAGCTATTTCCTTAAAAAAACTTACTATACACTTTTATTAATTTCCAAATAAAACACTCACAACCACTTGTTTTAATATATTGATATTATTGACAGACAGTTGTGAGAAAATGATTAAGGGATAAAACTCAATCAGTGACTTATTGTAAATGTTATCTTTGTCTTTGGAAAACTATTTTCTGACCTCACTCAGGTGCACACCAGGTGCACACACAGTATAGATGTATGACCCAACATAGGGAGATTATTCGACCCACATAAATGCCTGTCCATAAATATGTCTGATTACTACATCTAAATAATCATTTTTCAAATACGATGAAAAGCTGCGAGAACATATTTCACTTAATAAAGCAAACGCAAGTTGGTTCAATCGACGAGGATTTGGATAGTGTAGTATAATAGTTCAGTGTGTATTTTTAATCAGGCGCAAATGAGGCCACGCTAAGCTGAGGTCCTCTAGAAGGGGACCTGCGGTGTCAGACAAAAAGAAGTGAGCGGCTGGTTGTTGTGGGTTCTCTGTGTCTGAGAATAAAACTGTGACATCTTCTTCATCCTCGGACATTAAACCTCTTGAACTTCCACAGTCGCACCAGGTTCTTGGGGCTGAGGAGGAAATAAAGAGCCAATCATGATAACATCTGCCGGTAAGTCGTACAACGTGTTTTCATTTCGCTAGCTTGTCTTTAGCATGCTACCATTGAATTAGCTGAGTCACAGAGCTAATGTAGCAATGTTCACCGGTGACAGTACATTTATCAAACATGTTTTCCATCATGGACAAACCTCTTTTGACGTGTGTTTGATGTAACGTGTCGTTGAATTGAACCCCTGCACCAGTCTCAATATACAGGAGCAGTTAAAAAGTTGTTGTAACGTTAATGCTAGCAGTGTTTGCTATGATCCCTGCTGCTCAGATACTGAAGATCATGTTCATTATAATGAAAACACAAGAATAGCTTTCATCTTGGTAACGAACCACCACGTAATGGGTCTTTTAATGCAGCTTCCTGTCGAGGAAGATTTGCAAATCACGTTCAGATTCAACCATTTACTCTTTCCGTCAGATTTGTATTTAAATCAGTAAACGTAGCGCGTCTCCATTTATTTACTTTACTAACGTGTCAATGATAAATACCTGTCATCTATGGTCAGCAACCATTAGCGCCTGAGACCAGAAAGTGTTTGTGCTGCTCCCATAGAGACTAAACGATTATAGATGAGTCGATAAGCAAACAAATAAACCTAACTTTTGATTAATTCATTGATCATTTGTAAGACAATATTATGTTTCCCCTAAATTTCTTCCTCTCAAATGAAAATACCTCCTGCATTTCTTTGTTGTTTTTGTTACAAATGTATTTTTAAGTTATATATACTATAATGTCGTTTTACGTTCTTCTGGGTACTTGGATTACCCAGAAGAAATTTAAGATGTTCAGAAGTTTTTTGATATATAAATAATTCGCAGATTGATGATAAAATAATCATCAGTTTTAACCTTAATATATATAGTAGGCAACATTTGCTGAAATGAAATAACTGACACTTAAACAATCTAGTCAGGTTTTACTGTAATCGTGCTGAGTCATTTAACTGTTCTGACTTCATAGGATCAATTGTCAACAAAGAGATAAAGGTGTCTGAAAGTTTTGAATTGAGCAACCTCTCAATCATTTTTTATTTCCTTTACTTCAGCTGGAATTATTTCACTCCTTGATGAGGAAGAGCCACAGCTCAAGGTAAGACATTATTCCAGAGTGGTGCACCAGATGCCTCAAGATCAATCAATCTGAGATAACCTCATTTCATGTCATGTTCACTGCTGTTTAGAAATTATAAGCCAGTTTTTACATAAGAGCATAAACACATGCGTTTTATGGCACTGGCTTCCCATGAAATGTTTCATAAAGGGCAAGAGTAATGCATCAGTTAATATGTAAAATATCCAAATGAAACAACTTTGTCTCATTTACAGGAGTTTGCTCTGCACAAGCTAGACTCCATTGTGAATGACTTCTGGGCTGAGATTTCCGGATCTGTAGATAAAATGTAAGTATGACTACGTTATGACTTGAAACTATAACTGATGCACAAAAATTTACATTGGGGAACATTAGGTTACACTCCTGGGTTCATTTTTAATTTAGAATGCAGCAAACCCTGTATCGCCTTCTTTATAAGTGGTGACAAGCACACACTACGACAGAGGCAGATAAAATGTAGCAGGGCAGTGTAGTTTACTAGTTGCTACTCGGGCACAAACTATTTGTGGGTAATTGAATACACGGTTTATACTGATTGGGTGATGCATATACATTTATTTGTAATAAAAAAATACCACTTCTTGGTGCAAGTTTTCATTGTTGTGTTCTGTAACCATATGTTGTCTACTCACAGTGAGGTCTTGTATGAGGATGAGACGTTTCGGAGTCGAGCATTCGCTGCCTTGGTGGCTTCTAAGGTTTTCTACCACCTGGGAGCCTTTGAGGAATCTCTGAACTACGCTCTTGGTGCTGGTGAACTCTTCAATGTCACAGACAACTCAGAATATGTTGAGACCATCATTGGTGAGAGAACCCAAAAAATCATGCGATCTGTTTTTTTTTGGTGACCATGTGACATTTCTGTTGTTTTAAGGCTGCTCTGAACCTGAACCTGTGAACCTCTTGTGTGCCAGTGTGAAGTTAATAAGCCAACAGATTACCGATGGAATAAGATGTTGACTTGAACCTGGTAGTTGAATTCTGCTGTAAAATGAAGACCCTCTTTTCTTTGCTTTTTTTGTGTCTGCCAGCCAAATGCATTGACCACTACACCAAGCTGCGGGTCGAGAATGCTGAGCTGCCAGAGGACGAGGAGAAGAAAAGCATTGATCCCCGCCTCGAAGGGATTGTCAACAAGATGTTTCTGCGTTGCCTTGACGATCACAAGTACAAGCAGGCCATTGGCATCGCCTTGGAGACCAGGCGCCTGGACATGTTTGAGAAAACCATCTTGGATTCGGTCAGCAGCTTTTGTTTTGTTTGTTTGCACACTTCTATTTTTATTTACAAATACAAATGAAATGGTTGCACTGTTGAGCCCTGGATACATAACTGTTACAAGCATAATTCTCTCGACAGGAGTCCAGGTTCTAGTTACTGCTGCTGACTGTCTGGAATTATTCCTCCTTTGTCATGAAAAACATTGGTAACTGTTACTTTTTTCTTTATCTCTTCATGCAGAGCGATGTGAGCGGGCTCCTTGCCTACAGCCTGAAAGTGTGCATGTCGCTAATGCAGAACAAGAAATTCCGTAATGAGGTGTTGCGCGTTCTGGTCAAGCTCTACATGAACTTGGAGAAACCTGATTTCATCAATGTCTGCCAGGTACACATCAAATACAATGCCAACTCAGATTATAATTATTATGATTATGCAACCAGTCATTGATTGTTTGAAAATTTGACAAGCACCTTTACATTTTGTTCTTTCTACCAGTTTAAGTCTTTGATTTCTTGCAGTGTTGCTATAATGAAATTAGGACTAGACCATTATTAGTTTCTCAATATATACATTTAATGACTTGTTTTTTAGCCAGAGTCTAACAGATGAAATATAGCTACTGTCCTGCACTGGTTTACTTAACAAACTTGATCCCCATCAAGTGTGAACCTAAAATCTCCATCTGATTTGTTTTTTGTCCTCTTCTCTCTAGTGCCTGATCTTCCTGGATGACCCACAGGCTGTGAGTGACATCCTGGAGAAGCTAGTGAAGGAGGACAACCTGCTGATGGCCTATCAGATCTGCTTTGACCTGTACGAGAGCGCCAGTCAGCAGTTCCTCTCCTCTGTCATCCAGAACCTAAGGACTGTTGGAACGCCGATTCCCGCTGTACCTGGCTCTACAAATACAGGGACTGTGCCCACACCTGACAAAGACAGGTGGGCAGGAATAGAAAACAATAATACACCAATACCTGTGTTGACGCACCACCTGGAACTCTCGTTCACGAGCAGTGGGTCCTGAAACCCAAGTCTGAGGGCTATATAATCAGCGTCTGTATTGACATCTTTTTGCTATTCAAGTTTAAGTACAGTACATTTATGAGGGACCTCAGATAATAATTTAAAACTCAACCTACACTTGGTTACATTAGTTGCTTCAAATTAGGTGATTCAATACAATAAAGTATTTTTACTGTGTTCCAGTGATGCAATGGAAACAGAAGAAAAAGCTGGCAGCTCCCCCGCTGGAAAGCCAGTAGAAATAGTAAGTTCTTTGGACTGGCTTGTATGTCAAAACTTTTGTGATACCAGGTTTCTGTAATTTATTTATTTTTTTATCCACACAGAGCAACTCTTATCGGCTATGTTTGTGTGTTTTTGTAGAAAGATGAGCCCAAAGACCAGAACGCCAAGATGATCAAAATCCTCAGTGGGGAAATGGCCATTGAGCTGCATTTGCAGTTTCTAATTCGAAATAACAATACAGATCTAATGATTCTCAAAAACACAAAGGTAAGTAGATAAACATACAAATTATTGTTTACATGGTCAAATGAACTGCTCAATGGGTTGTTAAAGCTACTGCATGAGATTTCTTTCTCTATCACTCTAGGATGCAGTCCGAAATTCCGTGTGCCACACAGCCACAGTAATAGCCAACTCTTTCATGCACACAGGAACAACAAGTGACCAGTTCCTCAGGTAACTGTGTAGGCTGAACCAAATGAAGAACAACAATCAATTTCCTACATTGCACAAAGCGACTGAGAAACATATTTACTCAAATTGAAGTTAGGACTAAAAGTTGTTGTTTTACTTTTTTTTAGAGAAAACTTAGAATGGCTTGCAAGAGCCACCAACTGGGCAAAGTTCACAGCAACAGCAAGTCTGGGTGTCATCCACAAGGTAAATATATTTCACAATGATGATGGTATACTCTAAGAAAAAAAATGTAATGCATATTATTCATGTAATAAATTTAATTTTGAATATAACATGCTGTGTTTTTCAGGGCCATGAGAAAGAGGCTCTCCAGTTAATGGCCACGTACTTGCCCAAAGACACCTCCCCTGGCTCAGCCTACCAGGAAGGAGGGGGCCTGTACGCTCTGGGACTCATTCATGCCAATCATGGTGGTGACATTATTGACTACCTGCTCAGTCAGCTGAAGAACGCAAGCAATGATGTGAGTGTTGGTGTTTACTTTGAATTCTGCTTATTATGAAATACACTACTGGGCAAAAGTTGAGAAAACCTCAATATTCCTGTTATTTAAGTTTACTCTTGTCTCTATATTGCTATAAAGTTAAAACTTAGAACAAAGAAATAATACAATTATATAAAGATAAAACATTAGTGCCTCAGATAAGTGTTTAGCTGAGACAACCCATTTAGTTTAAGTCACTGTGTCAGTAGGTTGATTTTTGTTTCGTGTTCCATCGCTCATGCTCTTCTTCTGTGGTACAGATCGTCCGTCATGGTGGTGCTCTTGGCCTTGGCTTGGCTGCTTTGGGCACAGCCAGACAGGATGTTTACGACCTCCTCAAATCCAACCTGTACCAGGATGATGCAGTTACTGGTGCGTAGGCCACTGACAAAATCTCCAAACTGAAAACCTTTCTGAATAGTATGGAGGTAGCAGGGAGGAGGTAGTTTTTGGTTCTCAGGATTCAGCTTCCAAAAAATTACCTAACCTCAAAAATGTTAAATCTTAAATATTTTTGTCCCGTTCTGATAGTTTAAAACCAAATATTGAAAATAATTAGCATAAAATTGCCAATTTAGAGACAAAATGGTCTACGATATGCAATGGGTAGTGATTTTGCAACATCCCTAACATGCATGGATTGCTGTTAAATCTAGCTCAGTAATATACACAAGTAAACATCTGTTGATTAGGGGGGAAAAAAACACCCTGCTAACGGTAATGTGTAATCCCTCAGGTGAAGCTGCAGGTCTGGCTCTGGGTCTCGTCATGTTGGGCTCCAAGTCAGCCCAGGCCATTGAGGACATGGTCGGCTACGCTCAGGAAACACAGCATGAGAAGATCTTGCGTGGCCTGGCAGTGGGAATCGCCATGGTGATGTATGGACGTATGGAGGAGGCTGATGCCCTCATTGAAAGCCTCTGCAGAGACAAGGTGAGGCTGAAATGCACTCAGAGCAAATCTTCATGCAGTACTTTGCTGTTGTGGCACTCTTGCAGCTTTTACATATAAAAATACTATACATGCAATGAACCCAGCTTGAATTGGGGAAAAAAAATGGTTGTGAGGCTGTTAGAAAAACCAGCTTGTGTGTGTATTTCTATTATATGGGAGACTCTACCTCTGTACAGTGTGCCAGAAACCATTCTGTAAGACCTGAATGTGGTAAATGACTCAATTTATGTTGTTCTCAGTTTTGTATCCAGACACAAAGTCTCAAAGCTCTGCTTCCTCTCACTGTCAATGTTAGGACCCCATCCTGCGGCGCTCTGGAATGTACTCTGTGGGAATGGCCTACTGCGGCTCTGGGAACAACAAGGCCATTCGGCGTCTGCTACATGTCGCGGTGAGTATTTCCTGTTATGTGTCCTCTTCACTACAGTTTTTCAGGAAGGTTTATCTTGCTGGCAGTGAAGCCGATGCCAAGAGCCAGGGCTGCATAACTGTGGCTGGTATACTTGGTTACTGATTCATCTTTCTTAAAGATTTATTCTAATACAACATTTGACTCTTCTTAACGGATTAGACATCAACAACAGTGTTATTCTGATCAGTTTCTGAATCTGAAATTGAAGTTCTGAATCCATCAAGTCTTGAAAGCTTTTGATAAAACCAGCACTAATTGTTAGGTCCACCATAACAATGAAGCACTTACATTTCAACAAGGAAAAGAACTGGTTTGTCAGATGGCAGTTTAAACTGATGACAATATAACTTAAGGATTCATGTATGTATGTATCAATGTTCTCTCAGTGGCTTAATTTGCAAACCAAACATAATTGACAGGTGTGAACAGTTCAACATGTTGTCCTGTAGGTGGTGCCTTTACAAGCTATCAGAAGGTGTCATGGTAGAGCATGTGCCTCACACTGTGACCCATAAGGCCACATGTTGATGTTAATTGATGTTGATAGGATTTGATGAGTCTCCGTATTGGCTTTGGTGATTTTTGACTGTTTTACTTATTTTAAATAAGGTGAGTGACGTGAACGATGACGTCAGAAGGGCTGCTGTCGAGTCCATCGGCTTCATCTTGTTCAGGTAGGATCCAGACTGAATTAATTGAATGAAGAATATTCTTGTTTAGTTTCTGTATATCCTTTCTCTTTCAAGCCTCAATGTACTGGCCAAACTCCCAGTTCCTTATCCCCAGCACAAACACACGCACACTGCTTTGTGTGGAGACTAAATAAAGCATTCAGGCATATTAGTCAACTTCGGCTAATGTTGTTCAATCTAAAAAGAGTTTTGTGAAGTCATTATTATATTCCTCAAGATGATGTTTAGAAAAGCTTTAAAACATAGTTACTCTACTGAAACTGGCATTAAAAAAGGTTTGTGCCATAGCCAGCTCTAGAAACCCCTTTTAATAACATCTGAAATAGATTCCATTGTACAATAACAAGGGTAATGTCTTTGGTTGTGTTCATCACAACAATGTCATTGAAATGTTTTCTCTTGTTTTCTGCTTTCCATACAAAACGACTCATAAAAACCTAATTTGATTAAAAAACCATTAAAAATGCTGGTTTGTTTAAGGCGAATAGTGGTGCTGCACTTATGCCCAATGTAGAGATAGTACTGCTTTATCAGCAACCATTGCAACTATTCCTGTTATCTGTTAAAATTAAGCATTAATTTTTATCTTAATTCTTGTTTCCGTTGCCCTTGTACGCTCTAATTATCTACTCTTCATGGAAGGTATTCCATGGCTGAACATTCTCGTCATTGTCACTCACACATGTTCATCTTTGGCTATTTATAGGGAACTAGCCATTAGGGACCAGAGCAGTGTTGAACACAGAGCATAGCCAGTGCACAAATGTCATGGTGTACATTTTTAAGCCCAAAAAAGGCTATGTGATATTCTGTGTGATCAATTGGCTGCTAGATAAACCATGTGTAAATCTTTGCTGTGTTTAGACTTCTGACTTCTGAACCAGAACAGCTTCCCACCATAATGACTCGAGGAAACTCCTTCCATCCCTCCAACATGCTCACTTGCACAATTGGACATCTCCAAGTTTAAATGTTTTACAATTTTCTTAATAAATCAACAGAGTTCCTGTTTGTTAAAAATGGATGAAGAATTGATACACTCCAATGTCACATAGCAAAATCAGAGGCCCTATCCAAATTGCTATTTTGTTGGCTCTGTTTGAATTGAGTATGTTTAAAGAACCAGCGTAAAGGATCTATTGGCTCTATTAGCTGATATGGAATGTAAGTTTATTTTCTAACTAATTTATAATTACCAGAATGGACAGATCAAACACTGGCTGTAGAGAAAGCCTTTCACTTGGGTTCTCCTAAAAAATTGCCAGAAGGGGTATTCAGTTGGTTGCAGTATGCCACTTTGCCACTAAATCCTATACACTGTATTTGTATCTGCACTGTTCTTAAAACACTTATATCTGATATTATCAAGCATATAGGGACTTGAGAAATTGCTTCTGATATTTGTACAGTTTTCTTGCTTGTCCTTTTAAATCTTTAGGCCCTTGGATTTGTAACAATTGTCTTATTATTATTCAAAAGACGTAGTGGTTTGTGGGGTCACTTTTAAATGATCGTATTTGCAGATCTTCTGAGGTAGTATCAACACATTCATGGAGGAGGCATTTCTACTTGCTGATATTGACACAGATACTTTGAACTGGTATAATTATTTTTTTCAGTTCATTAAGACAGCAGTTTGTTTTAATTGGAATCATTTCATTTATTTATAGTTTTGTTCTTTTTTTATATAGCATCTTTTTATTTGGATACTTTTTTGTTATGTCACCATCAGGCTGTAATACACATACAAAAGCACTTCCCAAAGGTCCAGCAAATACAATACGTATCATTTCAAGAGTGCAATGCATTATGTGTCTATTGCAGAAGAGATTTAAAAGGTTGAGTTGTGGTTGTCTGATTATGAAAGCATGTTGTCTGAAATGTTTTACAGCGTATTTAGATAGCCCATACACATTGTATACTGCATTCATAAGAGCTTCCAGGTATTCATGGTGTTTCCATTACTCGCATTCCTACATCTGGTGGCCTGAACTTTAACTCTTTTCTTTGCAATTGTGATATGAACTATCTTTCTGTCTTTGAATCCATAGTGTTAATGCTTTGACATATTTTGTAGCATTGCCTTGTTTTGCTTCACAAACATCAGCAGCAGGTTAGATTTTGTTGTGTAGTGTACAGTAAGTCCCCGCCTTAAATGATTTGTTCTGCAACAGCAAGTTCTAAATTTAGAATTTAGCATTTTGTCTTTAAAAGATAAATAATTTTGCAACATAAATCTGATCTCCTCTCTATTTAATTGGATAATTTCCAGTAATAATATCTACACAGAGCTAACATGTTCTTCATGCTTACCACCTTCATTCTCAGTCAGAATCATTGTGTCTAACACAACACAACTGGATAACTGTGTGGTTGGTTGTCTGCACCTTAGCGGACTTTGATAGCTCACCGCTCCAATGCCGTTTTTCATTCCTCGTTTCATGAATAGTTTAGAGTTTACCGCCATTGAAGACCTGAATGAAATCTGTGTGTGGGCCCAATCTGCATTTGAGGCCCCTGGGTGGCTTCCTGGCTCGTGACCAGCAATGTTTTTGTAATTACAAGTGATATAACGCGCGAATGCCTGTCTGAAGGTTTTGTTGAATAGCGTGTAGACCAACGGGTTGATCCCTGATGACACATACCCAACCCAAACAAATATCTCCATGAGGCGGGCAATCACATCAACATCACAGCTGGCACATAACACAGAGGTGATGTTGGTGATGAAGAAAGGGCACCACATCACTACGAAGAGAAGGAAGACTATGCCTAGCACCTTTGAGGCGCGCTGCTCATTGCTCAGAGTCTGCATTGACTTCTTGCCCATTGTTGACATTCTACGAAAGTTAATCTCACCTCCTGTAGGAGAGTTTATTGTGGCTGCATTAGATTTTTCTTGCATCCTGGGAAGTCTGTTGTCTAGCATGTTCAGTTGCTCAGTCTGAGGTGAGGGCGCACCCTGTTCCCTCTGAAAAACTGTGGAGACTGTTGGGGAGCTAAAGCGGTGAGTCACCTTTGACTTGAGCAAATAAACCTTTTTGCGCAGCACCTGTACAGTGAGAAGGTAGATGACCATCATAATGGTCAAAGGGATGAAGAATGCTGCCAAGGAGCCAAACATGATAAACTCCCTGAAGGTGTCGGTTTTCAGCAGGCATGTGTGGTTACTGTTGAAGGTGATGTTGTTGGGAAGGTGGTAGTTCTTGAGTCCCTTAATTGGAATTGGGATGGCGATACCTAGAAAATGATGACAACAGTTAGCATTCGCAAAGACACGGGCCTCTTGCGCTGATGAAGTGTAGAAAAGTGGAATTCTTCTTTTTTTTCATATTGTCAACACCAGCTGCTGTAGTGTTGCTTTTGATCTCAGGGAAAGATATACCTGTGTCATAAGTGGTAGTAACAGTAATACAATGAAAGGGTGGCAACTATGATTTCAGGATCTCCTTTTTGTTTTTTTAATGAATTAAAGTAATCAGATGTTGAACATATTGGACCAACAAAATGTATTCATGCTTTATTTTTCACAACCAAGTGCTCACAGGGGTGTAACTTGCTTTGGATGCACAAACTATATTGGTCTTTGAATGAACTCCAGTCTCATGAAAATTGAGTTGTGTCCTCTTGGCACATCATCAGTAACATCTCTGAGGCTCTCTGATTATCCCTTTCAATCTCCCCATTTGTAAACCTGGTCTTAGATTTTATGTCAATGAATCATACTCTATCAAAGTAAGGGCAGATACAGAGCTCTGAACAGTGTGTGCTACAAAAAGTCAAGGAAATCGGTACTGATGTGCTTACAAATGGATATGAGCCACACCAGTGCAATCTTCGCCATTGCCTTGGCCCTGGATTTGTACTGGCTGTGTTGGATTGGCTTCTTGATGGCAATGTAGCGATCCAGTGAAATGGCGCATAGGTGCATGATTGATGCCGTAGAAAACAGCACATCGAGGAAGAGCCAGATGGGGCAGAGGAACTCAGGAAGAGGCCAGCCAGAGTCTAAAGAGAAGATGAGAAGGTTAATCTAGAAAGTCTGTTTTCTTTCATTTTCTACGTCGTTTATCTGTGGTAATGTCTCTGAAACCCTTATAATGTATAACTATAATGTACAACCCACTTTGATTCCAAAAGAGCTTGAGTGTTGCAGACTGTCTGTTAATGAAGATGTACCACAATGGCAAGAGATCAAAAGTAGCTCTCATGCAAAAGATTGGTGTTTGTTTATCTCTGTGAGTAGTGAATTTACTGGAAAAAGGAGGGTTCAATGACTGTTTATGGAGCTAAAAGCTCTTTATGTAGATGTGCTGGAGACTGTGTTCAACAGTAGTGTTTATTTTTTGTTCCAGGCATAAAATTGGCAGGTAATTGTTCTGGCTTTTGTCCCTTCACCCATTAACAAAAGACTGTTCCTTTACTTAAATTTCATTTGTTGTGCCACCTCCCCTTCTGTTTCTTGCACTGCTTTTTTCACTCTTGTTGGAATTTTTGAGTCATAGCTTTGGTTCTGTTTCATGGGGTTGGATTCATTGACAAATACTTGAACTCATACTCATTCTTAAAGCAGACTCACTGTATGTTTTACAAAGTGTTAAGTATCGTAATGCAACCAGCTTTAATTAACGTGTACTAGCAAGGCCAAAGTTAAGAATTATGCTCTGCAAAAATGTATTTCAACTGGAAATTTCATTGAGAATTGCGTAACTTATCATTACTGTTCCCTAAATTTTCTCCATTTTTATTTGTCACTTTAAAATCTGTTTAAAAGGATAAAATCCAGTTATTGCTGGTTAGTTATTAAAATTTATTAGCAAAGAACTGTAATTGTGTTTGCTGCAAATTTTTGTTGTATTTTTCTTCAGGTATTTTTTTTATGGATTGTGTTAAATGAACCAAACCAAAATATGTAGCACATTGCACAATTCCTCTGAGTCATAGCTCTTTTCTTAAAGAGGGGAAATATAATATTTAATTGTTGTGCTAAATTGCTGGCAGAGGTAAAGCATTTTACTCAGTTATGATTGTAATGTATTAGAGATAGTGCCTTGATGGTACAGTTGAGGTAGAAAAGTAAATAATTGGTCCTTTCAAAAAAATCTTTCTGATAGTTCTTTTGTGACCCAGTGCTATATTATATATACTTTGTTACATTGTGATCTTCATTTTTAGAATTGAAACTAAATATCTCCACACTCCTTGTAGTTTTGGTGACTGGGAAGTGTTTGGTGCCTTTAGACCAATGATATGCTGCTGGACAACTATATATATATGACCTATATATATATATACTCTGTCACTATACTCTGTGCTGTAGTGTGTTGAAATATTTGCTTCCCATGAGAAACTGATCCTCCATTTGACAGTTTGAATCTTCAAACTCCTTTCACGCAATGTTTGTGCATGTTTACTTCCCCATGACCACTCCTTTCTTACCATGGTACTGTGAGCTTCATCTCCCTAAATAGGAGAGTAATAACAGCTGCTTGCATTGGAAAATATTTGCCAAGATTTGATTTTTTTCAAATGCAATCTTCACTCAAGTGTTTAAGCTAACTGTGACAATTAGGTTTATTCCAAATATTACATGAAAGGAGATTTAGTCCTTTTCAAACCTCATTTCACACTTATTATACACACATATTGAATGAAGCTGTAACTCTTGGTACTTTTCTCAGTCACAGAGAATCACAAGTAAAAGTTTTTTTTTTATGCCCCTTTATTCATATTTTGAGCTTTCATTTTCTTCTGATAAATTACTCTGAAAGTTTTGGACAACCTTCTCAACATCCGCAACTAAAGCAACTTTAAAAGGAGAAAAATGTCAGCTAAAACGATATGTGACGTGTGTTTAAAGGTGAAAGTAAACAGTTGAGTTGCTGCTTCATCTATTATTTAGGTTAAATACGTTCACAATGTGATGTCAAAACTCTGCCAGCTGTGGTCCTATTTTTACAGCAAACATTTGGACAGCGTGTAGAGGGCAGCTTTATTTCAAGTATATATATAATACTAGATAATTGCTTGTCTCTTGCTCATGTAGCTTCTGCATCAAGATGAGATGGATAAAAGCTGCAGCTGTGACCAGTTTGACCTGCAAAGGCTTTCCTCTGTAATACATCCAGTTCTCATGGAATACTTGTAAATGTAGAGTCAAGAAAAAGAAATAGCCCAGTGTCTCCATACTCTGCTGTTAAATGTGCGAGACATAATTATGATGTAGGTCATTGTCCTGCATTTGCATTGCCGGGGGATAAAAGATTTCCCCAAAAATCCTGTACAACCACCAGCACTCTCACCTTAATTAATTTGAATTTAAAATGTTGGTAATAATCTGCTACACCAGGAGTCACAGTAAATTTAAAGTATGCGACTTTCAGAAGTAACATGTTGATTGCCAGCTATCTCTTGTTAGATTTAATCCAAAATAAATTGTTTAATCATGGTTGCAATTGTATATATTGTCACAAACTATTTTTATTCTTTTTTACTTCCTGCAACTATGCTGACTTGCTATTCTTGGTAGATTTGGGGATAATGGGTGAGCAGTGTGGTTTTTTTTCTTTTCTTTTTTCTTCATTATTCCATGTTAGGGCAAGTAAAAGGTTTTTTAGATGTAATGGAAAATTGTTAACTTTTCTCGTCCCACAGACACACTCACTTTAAAACCTTGTTGCTTTGAACTATTGTGAACTGGGTTTTATAGGTCTTTTATACAAAGCCTTATAAACCCATTTAGGAGTTAAAAATAGTTAAAACATGGCTAGATATCAGTATAGTGACGTTGTGTTAAACATATATCAAGTGTCAATGAGTTGATCTGGCAGTTGAACAAGGACATTTTCTCTCACTACAGTCATGTATCTCGTTCTTTTGTATAGCACAGATTTATTTTTTGTTTAAAGCTGATAAATTACATCAGGTTTTTTAATACATGGCCCCATGCTTGACTTACTGTGGAGAACAGTGATGAGAGCAATGGGCATCACTAGGAGTCCCACCAGTAGATCAGCAACGGCAAGTGACATCAAAAAGTAGTTTGTGGCATTCTGCAGCTTCCTCTCGAGGGACACAGCAAGAATAACCAGGATGTTGCCGCCGATAGTGGGGATGATGACCATGATTATAAGCAGGGCAGCCCATTTCAGCTGAACCCCAGACTCCTCTCCTGGCCACGAGCTGTTAGTCTCAAGTGGAGCCGCGACTGCCTGAGACATGTTGCTGTAGAGGTCACAGCTGGTCTGAGCGTGGGTCGGGGCTCTGATCTTTCTGGTGTTGGACACTCGGTCAGCATGGTCACTGGGTCCCACAGGCAAGGGCAAAAGGGTAGTGTGGGGCAGCTTAGGATCAGTGAACAGGATGTGTCATCCCTTGTGAAGTGAAAAAACCAAGAGGAAAAGCTAATGATCAGTAGAGGATCCACTGAAAATGGGTCCAACGCTACAAACTCCAATGCTGGCAGTAATCCCAACACGATTAGTACTTCCACAGCGAAATGTTACCAGGCGTCCTCATTTTCCCAGGCAGTAGAAGCTCTGTCACCCAGTGCATCCTCTTAAAAGAACAAACAGGTCTGTTGAAGGAACATCGAAAGCTTGTTAGCAATTTGTCTGTATAATGGTGTCATAATGAGATGTTTACAGCTGGAAAATGAAGGAGGTCCTTCCTCTGTGGTGATTATTACTGTTTCCACATTATTAAGAAATTTACCATAACTGGAAAATATAGGGTGTTATAACTCACAGGCTTTTTTCATTTTTGCTGGGTTTGTAATAACTAGTTAGTAAAAGGTTTGAAAACAAAGACTGGGCATGGAAAATCTCTATTAAGCTCTAAATAAAAAGCACAGACTTGTCTCACAATCTACGGTCTAAACTTGTTCATCTACAAAGATGTACAATTTTTTTCTCTGGAATGGATTACACTGTTAATAAAGGTACAACCAGTCATTATTTGCCGAAGTTTCTTACCTGCTCCTGAGAGTTAAGTTTGTTGTTCTTTGACCTGTCCCGATGGTGCTACAAGTCTTTCCTTACACTAAAGCAAAACTTTGTGCTGATACATCTTCTTCAACATTTCCTTTCTCATCTTTATATTTCCACCTTCCACCAAGTAAGAGCGTGACAAAACATGCCCTCCCTCAGCTGTAAAGCCTAAATCTGTCTCTGTCTGAAGCAGTCCATGATGTGGAATTTGTTTTGCCACATGTTGGAGGAACCCCCAGTCTTGCTCCGCATCACCTACCGCGATCACAGGTTTAATACTTTCAGATGTGTGGCTTCTCTACCTCTCTCCCGCTTCCAGTTGCTGCCCCTTGTTCACAGCCTGAGATCTGCTCACACTCTCTCCCGTCTTGTTCACTCTCTCATTCTCTCTTCCCTCCCTCTCTGCTGTGTCCGTGAGTCAGACTCTGCACAAAACAGATGAACGTCTTGGTGCTGGCGACATGCCAGTGGTTCTGGGAGGTAGTTTTCTTCAACACAGGCGTCCCACTGTTTATATATGTCACTTTCTGTTCTCTCCTCTTTTCAAAGCGGGTGAAGTGGTGGGGGAGGTAGTAGTGGTGTATGGGGAGAAGCCTTCAATGTGTTTATGAGGTATTTGTACACCAACGATTTTCCTTTTTGTCCACAATGAGCTCATGTTTCAATTTCAATTACAATTTTACTTAATTTTGTTTAGATGACTAAGTCCAAAATTTAGACCATGTGTACCTTGTTATCTTTCTGGTTTTAACAAATGAAAGTGCACATTCTCTTTGTGCACTGATTTACTTTTAAAAGGAGATGTTGGACATTAAAATGTTTAGCAATAAATAATCACTACTTTACAGAAACCAGACAATGTTGAGTGGATCTCCCAAGAAAATGTGAGAAATGCAACCAGCAATTTCTCACATTAGGAAACTTTTGATTCTATAATCTCCCAGAATAGAACTATCCAAAGACAGCTGAAAAATTATCCCTAATTCCCTGACAGTGCTAACATAACTGTAACATGTCCCCATACCTCCTTTATGTGCTTTGTATGGTCACCATTTTCAAATGAGTTAAGTTTGGTATTTTCCTGTTTCTTTTATGTTACAATTCTCATGTCAGGCAGAAGAAAATGCATCTTTAGTTTGTTTGAGCTAACAACCATACTGTAAGCTGACCCACAGCAATTACAGGAGAAAATCCTTATTATATTATGTTGACTTTTGCTCACATCACGTAAAATACATACAACACAGGCATATTTTAAGAATGAACTCTAGTCTTGCTCACTCAGCTGGCAAACTCCTTTGTCACCCTGTCAAACAAAGGTTATTCAGCGTCATCTCAGAGTGTACATGATAGTTCAATCAAGTCATCTTTTTAAAAACCCATGTCCCAGAATCACATGTATGTGATTAAAGGCATTATAGTCTAGTCAGCACAACCAGAATAAAATAAACTATATCGTCAGATGTGAAATTGAAAGTTTGTCTAGATCTCTCAGTGATTGCCATTTGTGATCTTGTAAAATCCTCATTGTAGTGGTTGAGTCAAGCTTCTAAAAGAGACCAGTGGAGATTATGCTTTAAAATCATGCCACTTTAGTTATTCACACATCTTTATACAAAACACAGGTAAACTTTTACTTATTTACACATCATTTTCAGTAATTCATTGAATGTAGTTATTGGTTCAGGTTGGATGGAAATGATCTCAGATCCTAGACACCTTAATTCCTATAAACTAGACTTTGTGTATATTTAGGTTAACTACCTCTGAAGTTGAATGTAGACAGAAAGATTTGAACATCTTGGTCACATTCTATTATTTCATGCACTATTGAGGGTTCAGTTTAAAGTAGCTGTAGATCTTTAAATAAAGTATTTTGTTTTGTTTTTCTTTCCTATCTTAAAACTGTTTTTAATCTTTTATTTGGTTTGAGTTTTATCGTTCACTTCACTGAAATCCAATATTAAGTAAAAGCAGGTGTCTTTACTAAAGCTGTCCTGCTGA